TTTTGAACGCCGTCCAATCGCGTTCGGCTGGCGCGTCACCCGATGGTATGTAGGTGAGGTAAACGCCGCCAGGTGGGGTGGCGGTGTGCGGATTGCAGTAGCTCGACGCGTGGGCGAAGAGATGAGTAGTTCGCTGGCCGCGATGCGGTGAAGCCGCGTATCTCGATTATCGCGGCCGAAGTTCACGCGACCGTGTAGTATCCGGGACATTGAATGTCGAATTTTGAACTACTGTCCTTACTGTGTCGGGTATCACGTGTTCGATTCTACGATGAATGTGGAATTAGGCGAGTCTAAGTTAGTTAAATGTACAATGAAGCTAATAGACAGAAATAGTGACAATGAAGAAAGAAATGGTCCAGCGGTGGAGCCTGCTGGAGCGATGCAGCATTGTGGGGCAGCCTGGAACTCGGCCGCTGCTGGTCGCCTTAGCTGGTCCAGGTCTCGGACATTTACACATCACTAAACACTACTTGCCATGCACCTCACACCTTTTTACGGCCTGACCGAGCCTTGGGGCGATCTAAGAGTCGGAAATAGGTACGTACTATATTTCCCTAGCCTTCTCCCATATAGCTTAGTATTATAAGAAACTCTTCCACCACGCCATTCGGCCCCGTCCTTAGTTGTTCGTCGAGTCTACAGCTATGGGCCCCTGTGTGATCGACCTTTGTCGGGACAGCTAGGGGCGTGTATAATATATGTAATGTACACATCAGTAAACGAAAAACTTATTACTCAGTAGACGCTTTGTTGAACGTTGAAAGTCTACATTATGTATTTTCACACATCCACATCATTTAAACACTTGATCACTCTTCTTTAATAAGAATTTTGCCTGTAGCTTGCATTTGCTCCCTACAAAGCCACAGCAGTCGATCGTGCTATTTGCTATATTAATTAGACTCAATAAATCCGCTATGCGCCGTCTTTCATATAGTGGCAAAATATGAAACTTTCGGCAACATGTTGTGTAATCCGGTAGAAAAATCTTAGCTCTAAATTGAAGATAGCGAAGAATTGTTTTCTGAATCCGTTCAATACGCGGAGAATAAATATTATAAGTAGGATTCCATACTTGAGAGGTATACTCTAGAGTCTAGATTACTTCGTACGAAAGCAAAGTAAAGAATTTTGAAGGTTTTAATAGAATTGAAATTAGAACACATTCTTATGAGACTTTGTTTATAATATTATCAATACGTTCATTAAATAGTAATTTGGAGTCAAAAATTACTCCTAAATCGCGAATGGTGTTAACTCTAGTTATATCTGTATTTTTATAGTGTAGGGGAAAATTATAGGTTTAGTCTTCCGTGTGTATGTGCAAATATATTATTAAGAAACATTTAAGTGTAATTTGTTCTATAGACAGTAATTTTCAAAACTATTCAAGTCTTCTTGTAAATGATATGCGCTTTCGAGGGACGTTATAGGACTTGATATTTCGTATTATCGGAGTAAAGTAGGAATTTTGAGTACTTGAAACATGTGAAGGTGTCATTAACAAAGATATTAAAGAGTAAAGACCCTAAAAAGGAGCCCTGTGTGACACCAGTTGGTATCGGCATGGACTTAGAGATGTAACCATTTAGGGAAACTGTTTGACTCCGATTTTGGACGTAGGAGGTGAACCACCGATATAAATTAGCTACTGATTGAATTTTATGCAATAGTAGCGAATGGTCTATTCGATCAAAGCATTTACTATAGTCTGTGTAGACCATATCAACTTGAGAGGGCTCCGACATAAGTTCCGATAAGTAGTCACTACATAATATAAGATTAGTAATTGTTGACCGACTCTTGACGAAACCGTGTTGTTGAAAGCTAAGTGTATGTTTTAGGACAGCATATAGTTGATCATAGATAATTCTTTCTAGTACTTTTGCAAATAGACATAATTTTGAAATAGGTCGGTAGTTGTCAACTTGATCTGTTGGTCCTTTTTTATAAATTGGTGTACATAAGCCGATTTCCAGATTCTTGGCATTAAACCTTCTGACAAAGAACGCCGATACAATACAGTCAAAGGAAATGCAGGGCTCTTGGCGCATCTTACGATAAAAACAGCAGGTGTGTTGTCAGGCCCAGCTGATTTACTAAAGTCAAGTGATTTTAAAACCTTAAATACTCCGTTAAATGTGACCTCTGTATCCCCTATATCAGATGGTATATTAAAGTTCATTTGAAATGTGACATCTGGGTTAATATGCGTATGGGTAGTATTCAAAAAGTTGACCAAAAATAATCATTATACAAATTGCAAATTTTTGCGCTGCAATCTGACAATTTCTCTCCAAAACGTAATACAGCGGGATATGAATTAACTTTGTTTTTTGCTTTTATATAGGACCAAAACGCTTTAGGATTATTAATAATTATTTGTTTTTCCGGACTCTTGGGTTATTTGTCTTGGCTTGGCTGAGTCTAATAAATGATTGAAGGTCAGATTGATTCCCATATTTCTAGTGATGCTTATGCAATCAAAGTTTAATTAGGGGTTTCTTACACCATAAGGGATATTTAAACCTTGGTGTAAAGGTCTTAGTAGAGATATAAGTTTGACGGAGTTCAGCTAATTTATTATAAAACAATAACAATGCATCTTCTAACGGCTTAGAGTTCTTGATGCCAATCAAGTTAAGTTGCTATATAAGCTCTGAAGACACACACAGGGCTAGATGATGAATATCTTTTGTTTTATTAGCAGTTATCCACAGTAGTTAACAGCTACAGTGCAGTTAGAAATTATTAATAGAATTTTATTTATTATTTATGTTATATATGTAATTGTATTGCGATAAATTGCATATATACTAATGTTATCAAATAAATCAAATTGACTAGAGCCCTGTATGTTCTCGGCAATATATGAAATGTTTAGATCACATCACTTTCAAATTATGTTAGGCATATTAAAGTCGCCAAGAATTATAAATTTATCGCAAGGATGTTTTAATATTGTATCACAAAGTTTTTCGGAGTATGAGTCTGAGTTGGTGATGAACAAAATACGCTTTGATTACATATATATACCTTAGGATTCCGGCAATTAAGTATCAATGTTACCCATAAGTCCTCGACATGCGAACACCAATCGCTACGAACATCTGCTGAGAGGTCCCGGCAAACAGCAATTAACACCACCCCCCAATATTTGTTTACCTGTAACTGTACCTAACATTTATAATATTCATTAACGCTTTCATTGAACCAAGTTTCTGATAAACATACAGCATCATAAGAATTTATGTTAATATCTCTATAGAAGGCCGAAGTTTTTGCACGTAAACCACGTAGATTATGGTAATATATATTAATTGCCATTTTTGAACCTTAAAATAAGTACATAATTATAGTTATAATAACGCGTAATAAGTGTAGAAAGGCGGAAGCATTATGTTTAAAAAGATGCGTAAAAATTTGTTAAATTTGTAGGCAACATTAAAAAGAAACTATTAATACAATAAGGCATATTAGCGTAAACAAAAGATACAAAAATAAAAAAGCAAATAGATGGCGGAGCGATATTATATGATTGAGTAAACAAGTGTGCAGCGGGAGTACGTGAATGCGTAACGATATAAAGCAGTTAAGCAAACTTAAGTGTTAGCGCGCAAGCGTTTCTCAGACTAATTAAAACACAGTTAAAACAGGAAAATGATTTTAACAATATCAAAGCACTAATTGTAATCACGAGGAAAACTTTTTCAAATCAAAGTCCCATTTTATTGTAATTGTATGAAACGTTGGGTTTTATAGTAAAGGCTTATAATACTTAATGTTCGAAATTAATATATTTGAACTTTGTATGCTTATTAACGTATTTTCAAAATATTATATCTATGATATTTTTAAATGTCTTTATAGCCTCGATCAACAATACCAACTAGATAACGGGTAACGTACAAAATCATAGCTAAATGCTGTCTACTTAAATACAGTAAAATTACACAACTATATATGTATAGTGCAGGGTCCCAACTATAGTCCAATAAAAATATCCGACAAAATTGAAGCTGTATGGACGTGTAGCGACTTGTAGTTTATTATTTTTTACTATTTTCGTTTCTTGACGTATGTTCGTTGTAGTTATATTCATGGACAACAGATGTGTCTCTAATTCAAATTAGTAGCCCTTCTCCGATAAAAACCTATTTGATCGCGTTAACTGAATATCGTAAACTTTTATTTGAAAATATTGTTTAAAGTGAAGACAAAGTTTCAGAATTGGATTCATATGGTAAGTTAATATTCTGGCATTCATTTTACGTATAATTTATTGTATAAATACACCTATATAAAAAAAAATATTTTTTTTCTCGTAAGTACCCTCTTGGATCTCAACTATGGTCCTACTGGTTTTTTGGACCATAATTAAAAACTAACTTATTTTGTTACAGAAAACGTTGTCACGAGATAAGTTGATGAGAAGAAAAGTTGGAGGGAGGGCTTATAAGTGTTATAGTGAACAGCTGATGGAACTATGTTTATCAGATATAACAAATAAAATTCTAACTCAACGCGAAGCTGCTGAAAAATATAAAATTCCTCGAAGTTTAATTACTTTAAAATTAAAAGCAATACGAACAAATAAAGTTAGACAACCAGGCCGTCAGCGTATCTTTTCAGATACCGAAGAAACTGCTTTCATCCAGCATGCAATCGAAATGTGTAATTACGGTTTCCTTATTACCGTTTTTGATTTAAGGTGCATTGTAAAAATCTATCTCGACAGAACAGGACGTAAAGTAGACCAATTCCAAAATAATTTACCTGGCAAGACTTGGGCGAATATTTTTCTGAGACACCACAAAAATTAACTATCTCAAAGGTTTTTTTATAATATAAAGAGGGTGAGAGCAAATGTAGACGACGAGCAGATTCGAACGTATTTTGAGCATTTGCAGACTGAAATTCAAGGAGTTCCAGCCGAAAATATTTATAATTATGATGAAACCAGCCTTGTTGACGAACCAAGCAAGAAATAAGTGCTTATGAAGTGTGGATGTAAATATCCAGAAGCTATAAAAAATTCAACGAAAGCAGCCGTTAGTTTAATGATATGTGGCAATGCTGCTGGAGAAATTTTACCACCTAACGTAAACTACAAGTCAGATAATATGTGGAGCACGTGGACACCTGGCACTCGTTACAATCGGTCAAAGTCCGGTTGGTTTGACATTAGGACATTCGAGGATTGGTTCTTTTCATTGGTTCTGCCCACTTTACGTAGGCAAGAAGGGAAAAAGCATCTCATTGGGGACAACTTAAGTTGTCATATAAATATGGAAGTTTTAAAGGCATGCAAGTCTCATAATATCGCATTTATGGCTTTACCACCAAATAGCACCCACCTTATACAGCTTTTGGACGTGGCCTATTTTAGGCATCTTAAACTGCGCTGGCGTCAAATCTTAGACCAACGGAAGGAAGCACCTGAAGGGCAAAGATTACCCACTATTCCTAAAAACACGTTTCCTACGTTGCTAAATAAGCTGTGGGAAAATATCATGGACAACTCTGCAAATAATCTCAAAGCTGGCTTAAAGAAAACCGGTATTTTTCCGACTGATGAAGCTCCAGTATTACAACGCTTACCTACGTTTAGACATCCAGACGCTCCACTTCAAGACCCGGTACTGGTTTCAGAATCATTCATACAATTTTTAGAAAATAAAAGAATAGGAGTGGTGGAATCAGGCGGTAAAGGACGAAAGAAGAAGCTCAATGTACACGCGGGTAAAAGCATATCTGCAGAAGATATACAAATACAGGCTAGCACATCAAGGGAACCTGATCATTCTATTAAAAATAAGACAGAAAAAACACCTAAACGAAAACCTAAAAAAAAATATCAAAGATTCTTCGAGTGAAACCGATAACGAAGGTGAAGTTCAGTATGCTTCAGACTCGACCATTAATCTCTCGGATGAATTCATCGCAGATGAATCTGCAGCGGCTGCCGTTGATATCCCGAATGCTACGCAGTTTATTCCCAAGCCAGTCGATTATGTTTTAGTAGAATATGAAGGTGAACAGTGGCCGGGGCAAGTCAAGAGCGTTGATGATGATGGAGCGTTTGTTAGTTGCATGAATCGTTGTGGATTGTCATGGAAGTGGCCTGAGAAACCGGACTGTATATTCTATCCAATGGATAAGATTATTTCGACAATCAAAACCCCATCAAAATTAGGCACGAAGCGCGCGTTGTTTCAACCAAAAAAATAAATAATTATATATTACTATAAACTTATTAAGAAAAATATGATTGATATCATTTCATTATTGTTTCTTTTATACGAAAAAATTTCATTGTATTTAATATTCCAAAAATAATAATAATTCTATTACTTAAAGTTCAATTTTAACGAATTTTGACGACTTTTGTATAAAAAAAATTGATAAAGAAACATATTTCAATTCTTACTAATTACAGTTGTTTAATTTTATGCTTTCAACTATGATCCAGAACGCCACAATACGCATTTTTAGTACAAATAATAATCCGGTCTAAAGTTGCCAATATAACAGGCAACAATGGTCCAAATTGTCATTAAAAAGAAAAGTTATTTGAACTTTTATTGTTTTATATTTAACATCGATTAGTTAAATTATCACATCTTACTTCATCTAAAAACATTATCACATGTGACATATGTAATTCAATGAATTAGAGGGGAGAGCACAAACTTATGGTCTGAAATATCCGGACCATAGTTGTGTAGTTTTACGGTAACACTTAGTGTGAAATCAACCTTAAGTAATAAGAAATTAGAGTACTTTTTCCCGTTATTGCCTTGCAAGCTACGTCGTTTTATTTCGTTTCTGTTTGCTTCTTTAAATTTAGCTACAAAAGTTATGGAGTCGCGGTGAACACTAAAATAATTTATAATATGTTCATAAGTCTAGTTAAATTTATTTATATTTTGGGCATTTAAGTTTGTTAGTGTACATACTATCCACACTAGCCTTTAAATATAATATAGTATAATGATTGCATTTTATTAGACAATTAATTATATATTTATTTTAGTTTTTGTATGTATATATTATGTTTGTATGTTTGTTTTATCACACTTATTTACCCTACCCCTGTTATCTTCGTGTAATCCTGTCCATTCATTGGTTGTCTCGAAGAAATAGCTGTTAGCATTAAGACCGCCCATTTCGTACTCCTTGTGTTAGTGTGCAATAAAGAATAATAAATAAAAAATAAATAAATAAAATACTTATTAATTGGTTTGTTGTATAATATGATAATTTAATTTATCAGTGTTTTTAGGGTTCCGTACCTCAAAAAGAAAAAACAGAACCCTTATAGGATCACATTGTTGTCCGTCTGTCTGTCTATCTGTCTGTCAAGACCCTTTTTCTCAGGAACGCGTAGAGATATCAAGCTGAAATTCATATCAATCACTCAAATTAACTGTCCCTTGGAGCTGTGAAAAAATCAAACGTCGAAGCGAACGCAATCAAAAGATACAGCCGTTTATGCCGCAAATTTTGACATTCGCAAGGGAATCAAAACCTACAGGGTACTTCCCGTGAACTCAAAATCTTAAAATTTGATACGAAGCAACGTATTATAGCACAGATAAAGGGAAAATTGCGAAAGGCATACATTTTTAGTTACATCATATAATACAGATATTTTTATTAATTTTAAACTTATTTACCTACGGATTTCTTCGGAACCCTCGGTGCGCGAGTCCGACTCGCACTTGGCCGAATTTTTTTATTTATGTGTCGTACACAAAAAGTAATAAACTGCAAGTACGCTTTTTGTTTTTCAAATGTATGTAATGTCAGCGGCTGGCAATATTGTCTTGATAGCTCGATGTCACAAACAAAAAAGCACTAAATTCCACATATCTGTATATATATATTTATCTTTAAAATTTTTATAATAGAAGTAAATTTCAGTGCAATTTATTTGATTACAATACAAATCTACTCCATGTACTCTACTGTTCTGTTTCACAAATGTTTACGCGTGTATTGGCCAATATTAGCAAAACATTTGTAGGGGTGCTCTAAAATCAGTAATTTTGTTTCAAATATGATAATACTTGTTAGCTTAGAGCTTAAAATATAACTTATTCGACATGTACTTACCGAAAGTAAGACACTCCGGCTATTAATTTGCTTTTTCGGGCATTATTCTTGCAACTTTTAAATATAAATTGCGGCATTGTCAAACGTGCTTACATTGCCTGTGTTTCAAGTCAACCAAACGAAATAAGAGCTCACATTTCCAGTGCGCTGTTATTTACTTGGACGTATTTTTTGTGCCGACCCGAATTCTAGTTGCTATTGTTACAGTTGATCGAAGCTTTATTGTAAATTTAATTATTATTTATTATTAATAATAATAATGCATCGTCACAGTATGCAGTGAAAACAGTGTCGGTGATAGCATGCAGCCTTGTGTATCACCAGTGTTAATAGGCTTGTAATCAGAGCATACACCGTCTACCATGAACTTGATGCTCTGATCAGTAAGGAAATTGATGATCCAATTGCACAATTACTCGGGAAGCTCATAGGGAGGGAGCTTCGAACGAAGCGCTTTGCGACAAACCCGATCGAAGGCCTTCGCTATATTAGTAAGTAACTACCACCTGGTGGTAAGTGTCTACTGCAGGCCATTAAATTTCTGCAATTTTAAAATCAACAACTTAAAAAAGCGAAATCTAAAGATGAGTTGTCACTTCTGAGGACTAAAATGTCTCACAACCTGTAATTAAAGTTAACCTTTAGTCAGAAACCTAACATTGTATACATTAATGTTTGGCGGTAGAAAAAAGGCAAGAAGGTGGTCCGTGCCATTTGGACTCCAAGGTAGAAAAGAAGACCTATCACCTAGTAAAACTTTTTAATTGATTTACGTCATTAATGAACCACATTATTCAACTGACCACGACACATTCTTATTAATTTTTAAAATAAAACACTCACGTCTGTCAACCGGAGGGGTAGGCAGAGACTATGGACTTCCGTTTGCCACGATCCTGACGCACTTTTCTCGCTTCGTCCACATTCATATACCTACGCATACACACTCGTCGATTAAAGGTACTCTTAATTTGGCCCATTTTCAATATATCGCCAATTGGGGACACGATAAAATTTCACCTAGCGCGTCCCTTCACGACTCTGCCGTTCACCTCTTCAACATAAATTTACTTTGTCATTAAAATTTTTAACAACCAATCTAAAAAAAGTTTACTGAAAAATATTAATGCTACAAAATTCCACCTATATATTCGCGGAAAGCGTAACAAATTTTAATCAGATTAGATTAAGTATCAAATATTCTACAACACCTATTCCTAAAATATTTTATTCATAATTATAATAAACTGATATGAACGAGGATAGAAAGTAAAAGAAAATACAGCCAAATGAGAGTAGAATTGGAACTTACTAGCAGTAAAAAGTACAGCCCAAACAACTAGCTTAGATCAGTCATTCTACGGGTCTCTGTTGGTGTCGTGATTTTGTCCCGTTGTTGGACACAAACTTCATCTTTTTTGCGTTATGTTGTATTTAATTTTAACTGCTAACCGCTTTTTCTATGGTTGTTTTATAACGTAAAGTCGTTAACGAGAAATGTTCCTTATCTTTAAATAATTGTGATTTCTAACAATCGAAGTTAGATAATTTCTAATTAAACATAAAGTAGCTTAGCAACTAAGCGCTCGTTTTTAATTTGACAGTATGAGAGCAATCCAAATTTGACCCCGCCGACATCTCTGAAATTGTTAGTAAAATTATTAAGTAATAATTTATCACGTACGTAGTAAAACCACGATACAGCTATATTATGGCTGTATCATAAATAGGTAGGACCACGCTCTCAGAGAATACCAGCGTAAAATAACCGCTTAATGCTTCTGTGTTTCATATGGCGAGTGCAGAGAACCGGAGACTCTTTTTACTGGAAACAAGGCGTACTATATTAGTCCTAGGGGTGACAACGCATCTGCATTTTGATTCTTAATCGAGTATAAATGTGCTCATTTTTCACCATAATTTTATGAAAATGGGGATTGAATAGTCTCTTCAAAAGGATAATATCATAGAAAAGAATCGTAGGAACTATATTTTAAAATAAATTATTATTATTGCCTTTACAAATCACTGCCTATTCCACACTGAGTTATCTGTATATATACTACAAGTATACGATACAAACAAACAATGTTTGTATTTTGTCATAAGCGAAAGCTGAAAATAAGCAATTAGCAATTCCTATTAGGGATTACGACCTTCGTAGGCTGTTATGAGTCGTTGCAATTACAACAATACCCAACACAAAAACCTATTATTAACAGGATAACATTCTCTTCGTTCCTTAATGGAGGTTTCAATGAGTCGCCTTCTTAATTAATTATTATAATATTTATTGTGGAATAATGATACTAGCTGGAAGAATAAACATATGGCTAAGAACGTTATTTTTTTATAATAAATATATTATAAGTAATAAATTTAAGTACTTACATAACGTTTTTATATATAACTAGCTGATAGCGACTTCTTCTGTGGCCGCAAGGCGCTGCCGCAGAAGAAGTCATTGTTGAAATATCATTTTAAATTTGGAAGATTTATATTATATAGGAGCTTGTCCTCCAATTGTCGTTCAGTTTGGCCTACTCCCACATAAAATATTAATGTGAAATAGCAGCACAATGCGAAAAGCCTTTTAAAAATGTACAGGGTTATTTTTCAGACTAGCCAAAATTTAAACTTAAGTTCAATATAAATAATTATCAGTTAAGGCAGTTTTTGAAAATATAAGTAAATAAGGATTTTACTTTTATTTGAAATTATATCGAACTGACTGTGATTTGTGGGCAAGAACTTCGCG